GTATAAACATGTGTATATGTATATGCTATTAATATATACATAACACATATAAAACAGTATATATAGTGGTACTGTGTACACAGATACATACACATACATATATGCAAACATAAAACATGTATATTTATGTGTATATATGTATCTCTTCAAGCTCTCTATGTAAATATAATATATGTGTGTGTGTGAGTGTACATGTGTATCCAAAACCTGAACAAAAAAGAGAGAGGACTGCATGTCTTTTTCAGTGTCACACTGCAGCATCATTTCCCAGGTTCACCCAAAGATTATTTAATTACCTAAGGGAATATGCCTCTGTTTGACCTTTTCCTTGCTATTGATTAGAACTCAGAGACTGTTCCAAGTTAACCTGTCCATTTTTATCCAATACACATGCAAATGATTTCTGTCCAGTAATAAAGATAACCCCTCAGGTGATAGGTGTACCATCCTGTAGCATATTATGCAGCTGTGTGTCTCCTCTAGCAATCTGTCTCTAAGGTAGCAATGTTAGTATAACATTCTTTTTACATTTTCTATAAATACTTAGTTCCTTTATTTTTCCTGGAATTAGCTTTACTATATTTTGGTTCCCTCATTAATGAACTGAATATGTTTTGACATAAGTTCATTATATTTTGTATGAGTATTTTTTTAGCTTTTTGAAAATTATACTTTGAAAGTAGGCAGCCACCTGCACACTCTCCATCAATGCCCTTAGCTTGCCTCTAATGCCTGCAACCTCTAAAAAAACTTTTCCAAACAGCTTCCCTGTTGCTGGAAATTCCCATATTGGTAAATTATTGCTGAGTTAAGTCTGCCATGTCGTAACACCTTAGGTGAATGGAGAACCAGATGGTCCCGTCGGGCACTCATCTGTGACTGTGGGAAGAGAACCGTGAAAGGGTATGTTTTGAAAAAGTAGCAAGAATCAAGTAAAGCAATATTATTTAAAAGAGAGGGTGAGGGGCTAATCTTGGAAGGGAGAGAGCAAATATGGTGGCTGGAACACCTGAGGTTGGTGGGCGCTGGGGGGAGAAGTGCCTCAACTGAAAAGGAGGTTATGATAGACATAAGAAAAGTTTGACCTAAGGTTAGCCTGGTCCTATTATATAAAGATGAATGAATGGAGGAATGAGGGGAATAAAACAGATTTAGATGGTTTGAGACTGGATCATATTTGATCTGTATAGATCTCATCTTCCCAACATGTCTAACCTCTTGGAGCTGCGTTGCAGGCAGCTTCAGGAAGAATGCCTCCCACATAGTGTGTGCTCCACCCATATTCAGAGCCCAAAGATAGATGCCACAATCATTGACCCTGTCGTTTCCATTGACAATGACCTTGACAAAGTCATATGCAGGCTGATTCAAAGCAATCATTGCCTCTGTTTGGAAATTTTCTAGCCTCTCTGACCATTGTCCTTCTTAATGATTGCATGTCGTAATGTACCACGCAAAGTCACCGTATTTCCTTCTTTGCTATAGTCAGGAGACTTTATTTCCTGTTACATTAGCTTCTGAGAGACTCAACTGAGCAAGCAAATCATAGATCGGAAGTCAGGGATATGTCCCACTCCCATCCCTGACATGGGTCACACGCTGAGCTAAAGTCAGCATTTTTCAGATAGTTCATCAGCAATACGAGCACCTTTCCAGCAAGGTCACTGTACCACTAAAGCAATCATGTGTGCAAGTGCCCCCAGCCAGACTGAGCTAATTTAACATGAAGTAATCAGAGATAAGAAAAAGCCACAGGAGTTATAATATACACATCAGGTACTTTACCCAGGAGGAAGGGGAAGTTTACTGGGAGGGAAAGGGAGGGCACCAAAATGATAAGAAAAATGAAGCAGAGGATGAAATGAAGATTTTATAAGAAGTTAAGATAAATAATAGAATAACTCTTTTTCTACTATAAAAGGAATGAGATCAACTAAGGACTCAGCAGGATTTTGCCAAGTTAGGAAGGAAGGTCACTTGCCAGAGGAGTTGGACATTACAGAAAAGATGGATGAATGTGTCTTTTCAGTGTTCACCAGGGAGAAAAATACACTGTGATCCAAGGAAGAAGTATTTTCCTTAAGGAAGAAAATGCAATGGTGGCAACCACTGGGGTAAGAGTGTCTTCAGGAGGAATGGAATCTGGAAGTTCATTTGGAAATACTCAAGCCAGGAATTTCCAGGGCTCCCAAGGAGTAAGAGAAGCAGTTGTGAGCATGTGGGGCAATGAGAAAGACTTTCACCCTCTCAGAGTCTCAATTCCAGGAGATGAGGGACCAGGCACTTCTCTGAGAACAAGCCTTCTCATAACGATGGTGGGGACTCATTGGTAGAGCTGAATACCAAAGCTGGACATAAAATCCCTTCTTTATTGCCAAGTTCCATCACCTCTCTATTACCTGCTCTTTCTGGGAGTAGAGTTGGGTTGAACGCATGAGGAGAACTAGTCAGGAAGCTGGGAATAAGACCTTTTGCCAAAAACCTGTGTTTTCAACTTCTATAACCAGCTTGGCACCAAACAGCAATTTCCTGTTTACTCTGACCCTATTAGGCCCCAGTTTCTCTATTTCAGAGAAAACTCATTAGCCATTAGGAAAGGACCACATTATTTCTCTATCTCACACCATGCAGAAAAATTAATTCTAAGCAGCCTTTTTTAAAAAACCATAAAATATTAGAAGAAAATATGAGCAAATATTGGAATGAATTTTCTACCAATGGACTAAGCCTCAGAAAGAAAGAAGCAAAAAGTTAGGCTGTAGATGCTATGCGTGCCTGGCTTAGGTCCCCAGGATATTTTTTCTCTCGGGAATGCAAGGTGCTAGTTCCCGTAAGTACTGCTGCAAAAGGTCCTCTAAGCTGTGGTCCCCAACCTATGGCAAGTTGTATAATTATTTCATTATGTATTACAATGTAATAATAATAAAAATAAAGTGCACAATAAATGTAATGTGCTTGAATCATCCCGAAACCATGCCCCATGCTCCCTGGTCCTCAGAAAAATTGTCTTCCATGAAAATGGTTCTTGGTGCCAAAAACAGTCCCTGGTCCCCCGAAAAAGCAGTCCCCCTAGGGACTGCTGCTAAAGGACTGCCTCCTGGGCTAGTAGTTCCTGTAAGCTTCTCCCCTAACCCCTTGAAGCTGAGGCTAGACCTAACCTGAAACCACATCCTTCCTTCTTCCCCCTTCCCATTCTAATTCCTCACTTCACTTAATAGTTTTCTCCTGAGAGTATTTCTCTAATAAATCACTTGTATACAAATCTCCACTTCAGCCTCTGTTTCTAGGAACTCAACTATGATACCTGACTTAACTAAATTACAATGTAAATAATTATTATAAGGAAATATACCATAAACAAATTTTAAGAGTTTCTATTCATGTATGTGAGAGTGCGTGTGTGTGCATGCGTGCGTGTGTGTGTGTGTGTGTGTGTGTGCGCGTGTGTGTGTCAATGTTATGGGCTGAATTGTGTCCTCCCCAAAATTCATAGGCTGAAGTCTTAAACCCAGTACCTCAGAATATGACTGTATTGGGAGTTAAGGCTTTTAAAAAGATAATTCAGTCAGAATTTGGCCCTTACGGTGGGTCCTACTCTCATTTGAGTGGTTGGTCTTCTATAAGAAGAGGAAATTGGACACACTGAGGGCCATCAAGGGCACCCACACACTGAGGGAAAGCCTGGGGACCACCAACAGTCACAGTGAGGTGACCATTCACAAGCCAAGACATCAGGAGAAACCAGACTTGCCGACACCTGGCTCTTAGACCTCTTGCCTCCAGAACTGTGAGAAAACAAATTACTGATGTTTAAAACAAGCAGTATTTTGTTATGGCCGTCTAAGCAAACTAATGCAATCTATATACAGACACATAGGTATCTTTGTCTCTCTCTCACACATACACGTAGGACAAAACATTTCGGACATAAGCAAAATATACAAAGAGCATCCATAAGTCTTCACAACAAAGGAAAAATGAACAAATATCTTAAGTAGGTAATTTATAGAAAAATAAATCAAATGCCAATAAATAACCAAGAAGATATTGGGCTTCATCACATCCTCCTTTGGGGCTGCGTCTGCTCCACGGGCCAAGCCCTGTCTCCCTACCACTCATTCCTCCCACGCTGAGTGCTTCACCCGTTCTGTGCACAAGGTAGGCACTAAATAACTATTGGTGACAATGTAATAGTGTTCTGAGGTGGATAGAAAACCATTTTTAAGATAATTCAATTCAAGAAGCTATCGTAATGGCTTTGAAAAATCATAAAAGGAAGAACAACTAGCTGTAGTAAGTAAAAGAGAAAACTGTTCATCACAAGTAATGAAAGAAATGCAAATCAAAAGACAATGGGGTTACTTTTTGCAAGTTTGCATAATATATATAACTAGAAGTTAGAAAGCTTTGCTACCTCGGGTGCAATAAAATGTATTTTCAGTTTGCTGGTGGCATTGTCAGTTGGTAAAATACAATTTGGCAATGCATTGCTAGTCATAAACCCTAAGGAGTAACTCAAAATTTGGAAAACACCATGTGAAAGACAATGTCTACAATCATGGTACTTATGATAACAAAAAATTAGAAATACCCCCAAATGTCCAACAATAAAGGAATCGTCACATAAATTTCAGGAGATTCACTCAAGGGAATAATATGCAGATCCCCAAAATGGCAAAATAAAGACCAACTACCAATATAAAAATTAACATAAATGCACAAATTAGGATATAAAATTACATATGCATGATCATTATAGCTATCCGAACACATGCAAATAAAGACAGATAAGAATGAATAAGGAAAAAAATTGCAGTGTTAAGATTATTTTCTTCTTCCTTTTTCTCTATTTCAAACTTTCTAAATTTTTGTATTGTGCATGTCTTGAAAAACTAAAATTTTATTGAGGAAAACAAGACTCATAGGTATATGATAAATGAAGCACAGGCAATGCCTCCAATTTGAAAAAAGTAAATTCTAACCTAGGAATCCCCAAATAAATAAAGACTTAGATATTAATAAGAACAGCTGACACTTCCTGAAATCTTGCTAAGTGCCAACATTGTGCTCAGTGCTTTACATGAATTGTCCCATTTAATCCTCCAACAAGCCAGTGAGGTAAATGGGATTATCTTCCTCATTTAACTGAGGGGAATGTGAGACCTAGAAGGATGCAATCCAAGTTGCATACAGTTAGCAAACAGCTGTCACAAAGGTGGCTAGCTGCCCCCCAAAATGCGTCTGTTCTCTTCTGCAGTGCAGACTTGTTGCTGGGAAGTAGCTGCTGAGCCAAGGACATTTGCCAGCACTGTCCTTTTTCTTCCCCTTTGTCCTCTCTCTTGCAGCCAGGTGGAGCCATCTGTGGCACCTCCTATGGCCTGTCCTCTGCAGTACACCTTGATCCATAGAGGAGAATCAGGTCTATAAATGAGTCAGCAGTCTGAAACGAAAGTGAGCAATTAACAGAAATAATTACTTTTTTTATATAAAAATGGTATTAAAAGATGGCAATACCAATTCAACTGCCAACATTAAAGAAATGTCACTTCCTAGAATTGAAGAGAATGACAAGAAATGAGCAATTTCCTATCCTGCTGGTGAAAATTAAGTTGATGCTACCTTTCTGTGGGACAATTTATCAATTTGTATCAAGACTTCAAGATCTTTGGAATTCTGAAAAACTCTGGACCCAGGAACTCTTTTGGAAATTATTTTAATGAAATAGTAAGGGATGTGAGTAAAGATGCATAGCAATAATATTGTTTATCTCAGAAATTTTTATAATAGAGTCTAGTAAAAAAACACTTAAATATCCAGTTACAGGGAAGTGGAAAAATTACACTTTGGCTAGACAGTGAGTTACTATGCAGCTATTTTAAATAATGTTGCAAGAGAATATTTAACACCAGGGACTGATCATGATACATTATACAGTGAGATTCCATTCTTATTGTGTTTTTAAAAACACAATCTATATCGGGCATGAATTTTCTCTTTCCATGCAGGTGTAAGAACTATCACCTTTCTCTATTTTTCTAATGTAGATGAAATCCGGCTTAGATAGAACCCATCCTACATGGCTGAAAGGAAGAGCTGTGTCAGGCACAGATGGGGCTTCCTCTCCCCACACCTCCCTTTGTACACACACACACCTTCATTTGGATCTTCCTGCTATGCTGGGGCTGTTTGGTACCAAGAAACGAAAGCAGTGCCCGTCTTTAAGCCAAGGTCGTTGTCTCTGGTGCCGTAACTCCTCAAAATACACCTTGATATTGTCAAAGGCTGAGGTTCTGGAAGGAAGGTGGAAAGAAGGTGACTCTCATAGCGCTGAACTTGTCACAGGCCCTACCACCAATGCCTCTGCCACTGTTCTCGGAGCAGTGGTGGTTGGTGTTCTGTCCCTGGGGATTCACCATCAGAGCTTTTACGACTGCTCAGGGTGCTGGACAGGAGGGGTGCAAGTAAGTCTTTGATCCTTGGGACCCCTGCCATCATTTTCTCTTCTCAACCTCTCTTAGAGACTTCAAACCACCCCACCTGTTAGAGCTAAGCTCCAGTTTCTCTTTCTCTGTCCCTTATAGGTTAATTCTGCCTTAATTCTGCGATTAACCTAAGCTTCCAAATGAAGCTTAGGTCAATTATTTCTTCAATGACCCCTCAGACCCAAATAGACGATCAGTCTTCATCCCTCAAATCCAATCCACATATGTGTCCACCTTTACACTCAAAGACACACATCCCAAACCACGGATAAGCTTAAACCTTAAAATGCAAAGGCATGCGTGTTTTTGTTTGTTTGTTTCCTTTTCCCAGAGGTATGTGTATGTGTGTTGTGAGAGAAGAGGATAGAAACGGGAAGTATAAGTAAATTGATTATTGTTTTATTCTCTCTCACCTAAGCAGTGAGGACAAGTCAACAAACCCACCACATATGTGTTCATTAAAAAACCTAAAAGATGTTACCAGTGTTTTACTTTGAGTGCTGGGATTACAGGAAAATTATTAATTTCTTCTTTGTGCTTATTCTTATTTTCTAAATTTTCTACCAAAAAAATTGTTACTTTATACTTTAAAAGAATGTATTTTTTTCCATGCTAAGATATCAACTGTATTTTTTTTCTAATTCCTTTACCACACTTCTTACTATGCAGATATATTTTTAAAACAAAGAACAACTAGAAAACAATGAGAATTGTTTTCTATGTTTTCAATGAAGAGCACAGACCATAGCTGTAAAGACATTTTAGGGGAAAAAAAGAGAAGAAAATGCTAAAAATGCTTTTAAAGTGGTAATTCCACAGGAATTAGTCTGTAACTTTCTGAGGTGACTAAGTTAATGGTAACATTGATTTTGGATATAAACATTTGAATAGATTACTTTGCTTGTCTTGGTTCTAATCTTTTTCTCTTCCCCCTGTAGATCTTCCAAACTTGATGCCACTATGGGTATATGCACCCACATTGTGACTAAAATTGCTTATAATGTTTAGCCATTTCCTTGAGACAGTACACATTCTATTGGAAGATCGGTTAATATATGGCCCCAAGTTCAAAAAAGAATTGCTATTACTTCCATTTTTTCTACTTCAGGGTCAACTGTCTCTTGAAAGTTGTCAAGAGAGTACACATCAAATAGAAAAAGGGATGGTAACAATTCCAGAAAAACGTCCAGCAGCCCCATGTGGATGCTGGAAAGGGCAAAAATCACATCCACCCTTCCAGGACATTCTCCATTCTAGAAACATTCTATTTCCATGCTTTCTCCTTTTCATACTTTTTACCATCTGGGCATGCATCCAGAAATTAAAATTCATATCTTCCTTTAAGAAATCTCTATCACAAAGCCATCATTACCCTTGGCTCCAGCATAGATAAGTCTTAGATGTGTGATCAGAAGTACCCCGGAGGGAGAAGGAGGTGGAGGGAAAACTAAAAGGATAATAAACAATATTCAGCAACGTTTTCCTCATGTTGTTTTTATCTGATTCAGGAACACCTTGTGTTCATTAACAAACCCAGGGATTATCTGACACACATGTATTTAAGAGGTTCTTGCATTTTTGTGTATTTCTCAAGTTGCCTTCATCACCCTGAAATCATGACCAGGTTTTGTAGTAGGAAAAAAAAAAAAAAGGCAATCCCTGCAGCAAGCTTGCCCAAGAACTGAGCTCATCTTCTCTTTTGCCTCCAAGTTTCAGGTTCCATTTCCTGCCTGGGTTCTGCATGTCCTTGTTTTACAGAGAAGATCCTGCTCACAGGGAGCTCAGAGAAAAAGAATGTAAGAAACCGAGAAAACAAAACTGTGTCCAGCAGTTCTTTCCCACTCAGCTCATCCAAAGACAGTCTTTGGATTGGCAGCTGTGGTCAATATAGTACAGTGTTCAGATCATCCTCTTCCAAATTCACATTTTTCTAAATCTGAACTCACAGACTATGGTGTCCCTGAGGGGATATGTCTTTAATTAATTCAATATTTTTTGAGTATTACAATATGCCAAGCATTATACTTGTCTTTGTAATAGCAGGTCTTAGTCATAACAAGCATACAATAACTGTTTGTTTTAGTAAATGAATATTCCCCACCTAGAATGTGAGTTCTAAGAGGTCAGGAACGTGGGTCTGATACCTCCTGGGTGCTTAAAAATTTTTGTTGAAATTAATTAATTAGTAAATTAATGAAGTAATCAACTCATACCAAAAAAGTTGTCCTTGACAGTAGTAGAAAGTAGTATGAAGTAGTACAGTGAAAATATTTTGGCTTTTGGAGTTAGGCCCAGATTCAAATTCCAAGTTTATCTTACCAATTTTGACATCCCCATATATGAGAGGAAATAATATTATCTGATCAAATAATGAGGACTTAATGAGTTATTGAACATGAAGTGTTTGGCATATTTAATGCATATAAATATGTCTGGCTCTTTTTAATGAATTAAAAAATGCTAGTTTGTCATTTTTCTCTCCTATTTTCTGAATCTCAGTTCATTATCTTTAAAATGGCGATAATAATGCCTACTTCATCATGGTGTTGCGAAGATTAAATTGCTGCAGAAAGTTCCTGCAAATATTATCTTTCTCCTCCTTACATTTTCTTCAATTTCATTACATGGCTAATGGGTGAGGCTGAAAATAAGAAGTGGATTAGCCCTTCTTAAGGCTCTCAGTGCATGGGTTTCTTGTATTTTCACCCGTCCACAGCTCACTGAACAGAAGTTGTAACAGAGACTGGTTATGTCCTAAAATTTATGCTTCTCTTTTTGGCAAGTCTAGAAATCCCTGGGATTTAATACATGGATGCTCAGAATAAAACTACACATCTCCCAGCCCCTTTTGCAGCTAGCTGTGGCCGTGTCAATGAGTTCTAGCTAATGGACTAGGAACAGCACTGGTGAACACACGTCTAGGTCCTGCCTTTATTGGGGAGTGAAGTGTGTCTTTCCTTTCCTTTTTTCCACTCCCTGTGTCTTGAGACTCAGACACAGTGGTGAGCCATCTGGGACAATGTGGACAAGGCACTAACTTCTGGAAAGCAGACTACAAGATAATAGTAGCTGTCTCAGTCCATTCCTGCTACTATTACAAATATCTCAGAAATTTGAGGAGGAATGTCTCAGTCTATTGCTGCTGCTATTACTCTTAGACTGAGTAATTTATAAACAACAGAGATGTATTTCTCACAGTTCTCAAGGCTGGGGAGTCCAAGACCAAGGTGCAAACAGATCCAGTGTCTGGTAAAAGCTCGTTCTTTGCTTCGTTGGTGGTAACTTCATGCTGTACCCTTACATGGTAGAGGAGACAAGGGTACTCACTCTGGCATCTTTTATAAGGTCACTAAGTGCATTCATGATGGTCGAGCTCTCATGACTTAATCATTTCCCAAGGTCCCTACCTTTAAATACCATCACATTGGGTATTAGGTTCCAACATATGAATTTGGGGAGGACACCCACATTCAGACCATAGCAGTAATTTAAATCCCCGAGGCACAAAGAAATCGTGCCAGCCCCAGAATGCTTATGTTAAGTTATGTAAATGTCTCTCTTGCTTAAATCACAGATATTTTGAGTCTTTGCTATTGCTGATGAAATTAAATCTGATTTAATACAGAGGTATTAGGAGATCTGTGACTTCCCAGGCTTTGCTAATGACAAATCCTTACCTCTGGCACTTTTTCAGCCTCCCCTAAAGGGATCTCGGCCACCAGGTGAAGCTGATCTGCCTGGTTGGTGCTGCCTGCCCACCCTCTTACTGGCTTGCCTACCCCACAGGTTTAAGCTCCCCAGCTGTGTCATGGGCAACCAATCAGAACCCAATCTAGCCTTGGAAGCCCCTTCCAAGGCCAACCTTGCCTATGAAGCCTTCCCTGCTGAATGATAGCTCTCTGGGATCTCTCCCTTGTCTGAGCTTCACAGCAGCTGACTACACCATCTGTCATTTGGTTCCAGCCCCACACTGTTTTCTAGTCCATGGGTTTTCATTTGTTTTGTTGTACGCCCTTCCTCTTCATGTTAACAACAAACACATTAACAACAAGAACCATGCTTTAAACATTTTTTATTTGAGTTTTGCATCTTTTCCTGATTTTGGAAGTCATTTCAAACCCTGAGGCATCACGTTCTGAACTCTCAAAGCCCTGGTGGACTTTATTGTAGTGATTTGTCTTCCTAAATTGTGATGTCTTCAAAGTCAAAAGGTGTTTCATAATAATCTCTGCATCCACAGCACCTGATTCATGCTTGTTCCTCGGTAAATGCTTATTGATGGATGGGTAAATGAATTTGAGTAGCCCCCTAACATCTAGAATAATGCCTTATACTTAATTCCTAGATGCCTCTAAACTAATGACTTAATGTGGGTGTTGCCAAGGAAGGAAACTTTTGATCTTTGGGTTCGGTACTTGTATTAGCTAAAACACTTTCAATGGCAAACAATAGAATCTTGACAAACTGACTTATGCAAAAAGGAATTTTAGTCTCATGCAGCAGGGAAGTGAAATGAGTACCTTCAGATATTGCTGAATGCAGACATTCAAAATGAGTCATCAGCGCCCTATTTTTCTCTTTCCGCCTCCATGTCTTAGGCATGTCTCTCTGTGGTGTCTCTCCACGATAGCTTCCAGTAGCCCAACACTTAGCCTAGCAAACCCAGCAGCTGAGCAAAGAATATGTTCCCTAGTATCTGCATCAAAAGGGCATCTGGGAATATTTTGCTTGCTTGGTCCAGCCTGCACATGTGTCCATTCTTGAATCACTATGGCCAAGAGGTTTGGGTATCTTAGCAGACATATCTA